TAATTATCTTAGCTAGATCTGCTGGATAACTTGCTGCAGCTTCTACATCAGCACTTGCTGCTTCACCTGTACTTTTATGCTCCTTTCCTTAACATTATGGACCAAACTCTGCTAGCTTCAAACTTCTCTTCTGCAGCTTCCCCACCTCTCTCAGCCTTCATAGAATTAAATAGAGTTAGGGCCTTACTCTGGATTAGACCTTCATATAAGGGAATGTTATAGCTGGTTTGGTCTTATATCTGGACTACTAAAACTTTCTCCATATCAGCAGTAAGGCCTTTCCAGTTTCTTATCATTTGTGTGTTTACTGGAGTAGCATTTTTAATTTCCTTCAAGAACTTTCCCTTTGCATTCCTAACTTGGCTGTTTGGCACAAGAGGCCTTGCATTGACCTATCCTGACTTTTGACATGCCCTCCTCACTAAGGTTAGTCATTTCTAGCTTTTGATTCAAAGTGAGAGATGTGCAGCTCTTCCTTTCACTTGAACACTCAGAGGCCACTATCTGGTTCTTAAATGGCCTAATTTCAATAGTGTTATGTTTCAGGGAATAGGGAGGCCTAAGGAGAAGGAGAGAGAAAGGAAATGGCTTGTCAATGATGTAGTCAGATCATTTATTGATTAATTTCACTGTCTTAAGTAGGTGCAGATCATGGCACCCCAAAACAATTACAATAGTAATACCAAAGATCACTGACTATGGGCCACCATAACAAATACAGTAATAATGAAAAAGTTTGAAATATTGCAAGGATTACTAAAATGTGACACAGAGACATGAAGTGAGCAAAATGCTGTTGGAAAAATGGCATTAATAGATTTGCCCCATGCAGGGTTGCCACCAACTTTCAATTTGTAAATAACTCAGTATTTGCAAAGTGAAATAAGTGAAGCTCAATACAATGTGGTATGCCTGTAGGTCAGATTTTTCCCAATTTCCTATTCAGGGTTTAGCACTTACACCTCTAAGGACAATCCTCTGGGCCCAGTTCTCAGGGGAGTCTTTGAAGGCTTACTCATCCTGAGGTGTCCACGGCTGAGAAGGCTGCCCTGTGGAGAGACGTACCTGATCTCAGCAGCAGAAAACACCCTTCAGCCAGGGGAGGGACACCTCATTATTGAGGCCCAGGCAGGCTTCCCCTGGGTAAGTGAAATCACCCAGTCAGAGGTGATGGTCTTTGGGGCCGCCCGAAATTGAGAAGCAGAGACTCTTCATGAGACTCCAGATGATACCTGAAGGCATCCATACAACTTCCCACTGAACACACGGGCCTCTACAGATACCTCAGCATCCTTCTTCTGCTTAAGAAGGCTGCCATTTTCCTAGAAGCACTGACAGTGAGCCTAAGAGATTTCCAGATCATTGGAGATTATCTTTTTACAGTGGGGAAACTGAGATGTGGGGCGGGGGGGACTTGGTCTTTGTATTCATGAGTGTGTGCTCTACCCCTCAACGCCAGAGCCTAAGCAGCCCTCTTTGGATGCTTTCCCCTGGGCTTCCCTCTTTTGGTCACGGATAATCCCCATCCCAATGGCTGCTTTTTAACCTGTTGATACTATGGGGAGACAAGTTGGGAGGAACAGAGCAAAGGTAAAGAAGAGCAACATAGAAACAAAGATGAAGTGAGTGCTGCTGTCACAGGAAGTCCCACTTGAAAGCAGTAGTTGGGTAACATTTTATGAATCACTGTCACTTCTGAGAATCTATTGGTGTGAGAAGTATTACTTTCAAAGGAGGCACCCAAGAGTCCAGGTGCTTACTACAAGGCTCTGGCAGGATTCAGCTCCTCGGGGCCTTGCCTCTGATCTGGCCCAGGAATCACCAAAGAACTGATCTCACCACCTCGATGTTTACTCACAGCCACCATCCACCTGACTCACCAGCTCAGGCTCCAAATGACTTTCACCTGTTTCACAAAAATCAGAAGGCTGGTTCCACCTTGAAGAAGGAACTGCAGGAATGGAAAGCCTTGGGCAGAGTACCCTGGGGCAGTAGAGTGGTGGCAGTGGATGTCCATCCAGAGCAGCTGTGAGGACTGGTGAGTACAGCACTCCTGGATGCAGGGATTCCATGGCCCTGGCAGTTTTTGCTTAAAATCCAGCCTCTGGGCTCAGTTCCTGCCAGGTTGGGCAGGGGCAGTGAGAAGTGATCCAGCGTTTGAGGAGGAGTAGAGGGAGTCAGTGAGGAGAGGCCTTTGGGGCAGGACCAGTGCCAGGAGAGAAGGGTGGAGAGGCAGAGAAATCCCAGACAAGGGGAAAAGTATTCGAGAGACAAATTGTGGAAGTGGCCACCAAACACCAAACGGGTAGGGAGGTTCTATGGAGGAACTTCTGTGCTTCAGTGGGACGCAAGTAGACGTCACGTTTTGGCTTCTGGAGGACATCAGGGCTCTGCCCATTGTCTAGCGGCCTCATTCCTAGCGTTGACGCTCACTGTCAACAAGCACTGCCAGCTTGTCATCGGGGAACGCAGAGCCCTCCGACGCCGACAGGGGGCGCCGGCGAACGCCCGGCCCGAATCCTCTGCGAGGCTCAGGCGGTGAGGCTCGGCCTCCAGGTGGTGGACTCTACATGCCCCTCTGGCTCTGGCTCGCCGGGCAGCACAAACCTCCCAGCTGCTCTGCGAACCAGCGGAGTTCTAGGCCGTCTGGAGCGCGTCCCTCATGAGATGCGCGGCTGCGGAGGGCCGCAGGCGCCTTGGGCCTCCCGGCCTGGAAGGGGCACCCCAGGCCTGGAGGCCACCATCCAACCAGTCTGGGCAACACAGAGGGCCCCAGGGTGATGCGAGGATGCGCGATCCGGCTCCCTGCCTCCCACGGCCCAGGCAGGGCCGGCGGCTCAAGGGTTAAAAGGCTACTGCCACCCCCATTCTCTTGGGGAGAAAGTGCCTTTTCTCCAAGTCCATATGGCCACTTCCTTTCGACCTGCTCGGTCCTGCTCGCCTCTTTGTCCAAGCTGTCACTTATAAAGAATCACTTGACTTACAATAACAGGTTCAAAAGACGACAGAGTATAATCAGTTGATCCACGAAGAATTGAAATAAAGAACACCCCACTGCTCCGGCTATCATTCCCATAGAGATAGTGATATCATTGACGTGATTGCGATGCTAATTTCTATACAAGAAAAAAAAAAAACTTGTATTTTGGAATTTGTTCAAAGAGTATTTCAGACACATCAGATTGGAAAATGCGGAATGAATTCCTAAACTTTTTCTGGATAGGCAGGGGATTAAAAAAATTCAACCAAACCCACAGCAGACAGTTGAGCGGACATTACGAATCTCACAGAACTAGCCTGTTGGGGGAAACCAATTCTTTTCCTGCTCCCCAAAGTCTTCGGGAGGGAGAGATGGAGAGAGAGGGAGGGAGGGAGAGAGGGGGAGATGGAGAGAAAGAGAACGAGAGAGAGTGGGCAGGTTTTCAGAGCAAAGTCCGAAGGTGCGGGCAGCAGTGACCAGGCCGGGCACCCGCCCACCCACGGCGTGCTGGGGAGCGGATCACCGGCCGCAAGGTGCCAAGGCCAGATGCTCCCGGGCAGCTGGACCTCATCTGTGCCTGAGCCCCCAGCCCCCACCCACTGCCGGGCCGGTCCTCCCAGCGCAAAGTTTTCTGCACCTCGCCCCTCTCTTTGCAACTGAGCGGCTCTTACGGGAGGTAGACGGTGGTGATGGGGCAGCTGTGCGATGCTTTTTCGGTATCTTTGCTTTTTATGTATTGTGGTGATCTGGTTTAAAACCCGCCAGTCATCTTAGGGGAACTCAGTTCGGGAAGGCTGGAACAAGTCTTACCTGAATCAATGTTTTAAGTGTCCCCGTGGCTTGGCGTTTTGAATGATTAATCTGTCTCTATCGCTTTTTAATCATGTGAAACACAGGCCTCTCACTCTCTCTTTCCCTCCCTCCCTGTCTCTCCCTCCCTCTCTCCTTTATTTGTCAACTCTTTTGGATCCTGTCTTTCTGTTATTAACATGCCCCAGGGTCACAAACGAGGCTTTTCTTTAAAACAAGCTCCTCATTGGTGTATCTGGATACTTCTTCTGTTATTATTATTACTGAATCTTTTTTTCTCATAATGACACCAGGATCATTATATAATCCCATAACAAAGAGGCTTTTGAGGCACCAGCTTTTGTCAACTCTAGGACAGAGAATCCATAATTGCATTATTCAGCTTTCCCCCCTTCTTCCCCCTCTTCCTTCCCTCACAGAAACCCAGCCTCACGCACCACTCACATCTCTCCACCTTGTTACCTCGCCTTGTATTATTTACCAAAGCGTTTGCCTTGAGGATCAGCATTTGCAAAGTTGCTTTAAAAAAGTTATTTTGTTTGATAATTAAGTCCTGGAGCCCACCGCGTGATGATTATTCTGGACCCATAAGGCAGAGAACCTGCGTGACGTTTTTCTCGAAGTTTAATTACCGTATGCTAATTTCCTTGCCTACTACGTGATTAATTAAAATCATATTTTCATAATCATTTGGCACTAGTATTGTTTTAGAATTATCATGATCTCCTGAACAGTGTCTGTAAATAAAGTCGCTTCTAATGGCAGGCGCGGGAGGCGAGGCTGAGGACCTCTCCGTGTTTGTATCGCGGCGATTGGCAACATAACTGCCTTATTTACATTAAATACGCCACAAGGTTACAGCGCGGATCAACGTCATTTGATCGCTGATGACTCCTTTAAACGCCCGGGCTGTGACTGATTCTCCGCGTCCCGCTGTCCACCGAGATTCACCCGGGAGTTTTTTTTTTCCCCCCAGAAAAGAAACAGACTTTAAATAGTTTCAGGAGCAGGTAAGAATTAAGCTTTTTCCTCTCCCCTTTTCTGTCTCTCTCTCCTCTCCCTCTGTGGCAATCTCTCTCTCCCTCCCGGCTGGATAAAAAATTTTTAGTCAAAGGCAGGAATGCAAAGTAGTGACAAGCGAAGGGGCTGATATATGTCTCAGTAACGAGTCTGACAATCAGAATGTAGCTCTTGGAGAATAGATAGATTTTAATAAGTGTGTTTACATGAGCTCAAGGTCAGAAGCAAGCTGCGCTGTGTTAAATGGTTTCTTAGTTGCTAGACAGAGAGAAAAAATGGACGATCACACACCATTCTTTGTAGATTATTATATCAAGGGTTCAGTCTCTGGCTCATCAAAGCTAAATGCCGCAAGACCTATCTAGTTGCTGTGAATTATGCCAGGGCGACAATGGAGAGCGTTTTTAATGGTACAATGCATTTCACCTACCAGATAGGGGGAGGCCAAACCGGGGATGGGGATGTCTGCCGGGGCTGGGTGATGAGTATCAATGAACGGGGCGATTCTGAAAAGAGGCAGATGAAAATCGAGCCCGCCCTGCCCCGGCTGGGCTGGGAACAGTTCGCAGGGCTCTGTCGAGTGGGCGAGCGAGGCGCGCGAGCAGGGCGCCCGTCCCCCCTCAGCCCCGGAAAATGATCAAGTCAATCATGTGGACATGTTTCATTATTCATTGAACACAATCTTTTACAACGCTCCGTTTACGTGCCCGAGTTTGCTCCCGACGCCCGCGTTTCAATGTTTAAGGTAAGGAAAACAAAGGTGGGGGGTTCGCGGGGCGCGGCGCGGCGGTGGTGGGGGCGCGGGGGACGCGGCTGGTGGGGGGGTGGCCCCAGCGTCCAGGAGGTGGCAAAGTGAGTTTGGACTCTTGGCATGGCCCCCCCATCCCCTCTTCCTCCCCATCTCGGTGAGGCCTGCCGCCGGCTCCTTCTCACCCCATCGCGATTAAAAAATATGGTCTAATTAAATATCCGTGGCTGTGACGTTGGCGAGAGAAGCTGTCAGCGGGGGGAAAAAAGAGGAAGAAACCGAGAAAGCGGCGGCGGCCGGGCATCGAATGGCGCTAGAGAACTTCGGCAGCGAGAGGGACCCGCGCCTGGGCCGCCGCCTCCCCCGCCCGCGGTCCCGGGACCGTTACTTTGAAAAGGAGAAGCCGGGCCTCGGCGCCCTGCGCGCCAGCGGGACCCCCGCGCCCAGCTCCAGGCCCAGCCGGGCCCCGCAAGCGCGCGCGGCCGGAGAGTCTCTCACAGACCCCAGGAAACTTTAAAAGGGGTCTGGGGTAGGGAATGTTGGGGGGAGGCGGTTGGAGAGAGGGAAGCTGGGGCCGCGAAACTTCTGATCAAGTGACTTTGCCCATTTTCTCCTCTGCGGGAGACCCGGGCGTCCCCGGCTCCCTTTCTTCCTTCGCGACTCGCTGCGGGATTCCGCCGGGGGGAGAGAGGGTAATTTGTAATAATTTTTTTAAAAAATCAAAGTTAGGTGATGCTTACAGTGTGTCAAACTTGCGGGCGCCAAGGGCTTCTGAGACCTGCCATTTTGTGTTTTCACTGGCCTCCTGTGCCCCGGGAGCCAGGCGAGGCAGAGGCCGGGGGCTTGTCAGGGCCGGGGTGTCAGGGTCCGAACTCGCGACCCCAGAAAAGGCCGTGACGGCTGCCAGCGGCGGCGGAGTCCTCAGCACCTGCCTCAGCCCAGGCCCCGGGGCGAAGCCGAGGGCCAAAGATATAAATAAAGAAATAAATAAGTAACAGGTTATGGAGGGAACTGAGCCGGCCAGCCCTGGGCTGGGGAAATGAAGCCAATCAGAAGGAGGGAGTGCGGACGTGGGGGCTCCGGCGGGCGGAGGAGATGGAGGGCTGGGGGCTTCTGGGAAGAGGGCAATTTGGGGAAACAGATCCCCTTGCCCAGATGTATGATTGGGGGAGAATGATCTTTGCTGATCAACCTTTCTGTTTGCTTCAAGACATTATTTTTTTGAAGACGAAGAATTAAAGAAAACAGTCGTAGGCGGGACCGGGATGTATTTTAGGCAAAAAAAAAAAAAAAAGAAAGAAAGAAAAAGGGTGGAGGGGGGAGCTTTTCTTTGATGATGAGTAAGAAAGTGTCCAGATCTCGACGCGCCCATCTGTTGCAGTTTTGCAAATAATTTAAAAAATATATATCTCTATGTAGATGGATGGATGTAAAGTGGAAGGTGGAGACTCTGGCGCCGGGAAGTTAGAAAAAAGAAAGAAAAGGGGACGCACGGCAGAGAGAGATTTGTCCTCACCCCCTACCCTCGTAACTCTGCTGAGTAAACTCCGGCAGGGCTTTCTCTGGGGACAGGTGGAAAGTTGTCCCCCCCACCTCCTTTTTTCACTTCTGTATTGTAAGCGTCCGACTGCCCGCCTCTAAGCGAACAGTCCACAACCCCCGACCGTTTGGGGGTGGGCTGGGGACGACGGAGGCAGTAGCAGGGAGCTGGGGGCAGTGGAGGGCAGGGCGGGGTCCCAGCGCTGCGCGCGGTTCTCAGCCGCCGCTGGGTTTTGTTTGCCGGATATTGTTATGTCTAACGAGTGCCTCAAAGGAGACGTGATTTGTCAGCCGCCTTCGTTTTCACTTTAGCAGAAAATACAGCGGCTGCGCGGCGTCCTGGCCTGCGGGCTCGGAGCCCCGAGCGAGCGTGTGGGAGCGGCTGTGGCGCGGGTGTGCGTGCGGCGGGCGCCGGCGGCGGGCCGGGCTCGGACTAGGGCAGCGGGCCGGGCGGGGGGAGTGCGCGCGCGGGGCCTCGGCTGCTCTTGCGTCTTCTCTGGCAGCCGCGGTTGCCGCGACTGTGCAGTTTAGCAGAAATCCGACAGGGGCCGCGTTTGCTGAGCGCATCCGGCTGCCGGCAGCCGGGCCAGGCCGGTCGGTGTAGACTCGGGAGGGGGGTTAAGGGGAAGGGTCGCGGGTAGAGAGCTTGGCCTGAGTGCTCGTCACCCTTATTCCTGTGTGTCCGCGGCTAGTTGAGCAGCCCCTGGAGCCTGCCCTAGGCGCCCCCGCCCCCAGCCCGAGCTTAGGTGAACTTGGGGTGGGGTGAGCGTGCGTGCGTGCGTGTGTGTGTATGGGGCTGGGGGGGTGTTAGGCTGGGAATGCAGTTTTCCCTTCCAGTTTGATATTAGCAACTGGGTTTTTACTTTAAGACCGGCTTTGCTCGCTGCTGGGGTTGGGAGGGGGAGATCTTTTCCCATCACTCACATCTTTGTTCATTGTTCACTGAGTAGAAGGCAGGCGACTTAAGGGACGAAAGAGGAAAAAGCGGGGTGGAGGGAGAAAGAGAGGGAAAAGAGAAGGAGCAGGAAGAGGGAAGGAAGGGAGGCGTGGGGAGAGCGCCCCCGCCCCGCCTGGGTCGGGGTGGAGGGTGAAACAGTAAACCCGTGCGCGGAGGGTCGCCGGGAAAGTGGACATTACCGCTTTAATTAACTTCGAGATGCTCCGGCGGCGGGACCTGGCGTAGCCGTGACGCGCCCGCATAAATCTGCCCGGTCCGGGGCTGCTCGAGAACCCGTACAGTAGCGGCGGCTGACCCAGCGCGCGCCTCCCAGGCCGGAGCCCATTTGCATAATTGGATTTTTTTTCCCTCCTTCTTCGTCCCTGAAACTTGTTTGAAAACCCAAGTGAAAACCGCGACAACCTGCACGCTCAAAAGCAAGTGCCAAGTAAGTGCCCTGCCGTGGACTCGGAGCGCCCGGGGCTGAGCGCGCAAAGCCGGCGAGCTGGGTGCCCGGGAGCCGCGCGCTGCCGCCCGGCCTTGGCCGAGGTTGCTCGCTCGCTGGAGTATTGCGGCCGCGACTCGCGGGCTTCCGGCCAGCAGCTCGCAGAACTTTTTTCCCTCTCTCCCGACTTCTAGGGCTAGGTGAGGTATTTGGCCCACTCGAATACCTGTAGCCAGCCTTGCTCGAGCAGCGATCTTTGGGGCATGGCGGAGTTGGGCATCTCAGTTCCGGGGCAGGTAGTCGGTCCCCACTGCTGTAGAGGGCAGAGCTGCGAGCGAGCGAGCGAGCGAGCAGAGCTGGCTGCTGGTCGCGCGGTGCCGCGCCGCGGATGCAGCTCGTCGCCAAATGACTTCCCCATTATTCTAAGGTGTGTGTGTGTGTGTGTGTGCACGAGCGCGTATGATCGGCTGTGCTTTAAAAAGAAACGCAACAAAATCGAGAGCAGGAAGGGCTTCTCCCTTAGATTGCCCCCCATTTTCCCAACGTCATTTATTTCTGCTGCTCGAAGGACAGTGCAAAGCTTTTTTGCTAAACACAGGGTCACCGAGAGACTGACGATTCTGTTGGAAATTACATAAATTTTATAGCCAAAATATAGCCGCATTCATAAAACACCATGCCTGTCGAGGAAAGTGTTTTTACAATATCTCAAATTGTATTAAAAATACATATTATTATTACTATTTACAGTGTTCAGAACCTGGGGAAAAGTCGATCTGATTGGGCGGAAACTGTAACCCTAGTTCCTGTTTGCCTCGGAACTTGTTGGGGGCTGGGCCCGCTACCCTGCATAGAACGGTCAGGAGACTCAGTTTTGGCCCCCTGGAGTCACAGGGGGGCGCCCCTGCAGACCCTGGCCTGGGGTCGGAGACAGCCTAGGGCTCTGGCTTCTGGCTGCTGTAGTTATGATGTCATTCTGATAGTGGATTGCAAATGCCTCCTGATTCCACCATTAACCGCCTGGCCGATTTGCTTGGTGATGATAGCACTGACATCCAGGGCTTTGACAAATGCAGGCCCGCAAAGCCCTAGGAATTAACTTTTCCTCCACTGAGGAAGGAGAGAGCTGCCAAAAGTCCCACCAGTGGGCCCCTGCCTTTGAACTTTGTAATGCCTCAGTCCAGACCCTAACATGGATGACAGGCCCTTGGATGGAGGGACCCCTGTTTTCCCAAAGTTTGGAAAACTTTTAGAAGGCTTTAATTTCCAGAACAACCTTAATATGGGAAAACTTGAATCCAGTTGTGACCAGGCATTTGGATCTGGTGGACTGCTGGGACTCCAGGTCTCTCTGGGTCCATTGCACGGAAGAAGGGATTGTGACATCTGCTTCTTACCTTCAGTCACTTAACTGTGACTTTATGTTAATATTGCTGCAAGTAAACAGAATTTAGTGTGGGTTTTTAAATAGTGTACAATGATTTAAGATTTCTTTTGATTTACTGTTCAAATGGAATTTGCATAAATGTGATGAAAATGAACTTAACATCTGGGCATATGAAAAAAGGTTAGTACCTCATATGTCATCTGCAGAGAAAGTCTCTAAAATGCTTTCACCCTAAACTGGGTTCGGGGAAACAGTTCCTGGAGACATAAATGGTAATTATGGAAAACCTGGAGAAAACGCTTTCAATAAATTTGCATTCTCTTGGACCGCTGCTCTGAAAACCCATCTTGTTCTGTGCCTGGAGTGCTTAACTTCTGAGCAGTCTTGAGATCCCCACAACTCAGCAAGTTAACTGCTGGCTGGGGCTGTCTTCACTGAAGACTTAGGGCAGGCGAGGAGCGACAGTTACGCTTCTTTGGTCCAAGCCAGAGGCCAATAACCCCCATTATGGGAGAGGGCAGGGAGGTGGCCAGGATGTGCAGCCCTACTACCCACGGTTGCTTCTGGGGTGCTGAAGGCGGTGCTGAGATGTGGAATCATTGTCTGCTGAGCCCCCAAAAGCTGACCTATTAGGCTGTGTATTGTGCCTTAGGTACCAAAGAAATTTCCATCAGCACAGCCCTATAAAA